TTTATATTATGAACTCCTCATTTGGTTTTACAATCTAGGCTCCGACGATGGCATTAGCCGAATCGGCCGTCAGCCAAACTTCACAGTTTAATAAAGTTGAAACAAAACAGCTTCGTGTTGTTGAAATTTTATTTAAAAAACTTCTAACTGCAAAATGGGGTGTAAGCTTCAACCGTACATGTTTATCTGAGAACCTCATACCAAATTATATATAAATATATATATATATATATATATATATATATATATATATATATACGAATGTTTGGCGTTTTTCGATTTTTCTCACTAAAGTTTTTTGGAGAACGTTTAGTTTATTAAAATTCAAAATGAACATATTGTTATAACCGTGCTACCGAACGCACTAGAACATTCTAGAATATGCTAGAATCGGACCATCTAGAAGAATCTAGAAACGACGCTTGCGAAGAGTATATAAGCGCACGTCGCAAAAAGATTAGTGATTAGTGAAATTCGTGGTTAGTGAAATTCGTGATTTTGTAAATTCGTGACTCTGTGATTTTGTGAATAGCGATTCGGTGAATTATTTAAAGCGATATTTGATTTGTTTTGTTGACGTTGTCATAACGATAGATTTTGAACAATTTAAAAGTTAATTGTTGTGTTAATTTGGAATTTGCTAGGAATAAACGATTAGTTGATTTTTTCTGTAAATAAAGTTTAATAACTAATAACTGTTTGGAGTATTTTATTCAATCGAAAATTGGTTACGACAGCGAGTATTATAACAATATTTTCCGAATTCATGCTGCAAATAAGGCCATATTTTGATTCCGAATTTCGTAGTTTAATACATTCGTAGTTTAATATATAGCAAATATTTTCAAATTATAGCGAATTAAATTTGATGGTAAATTATTCCAAACTTTAATACTGAAAAGTATAGAACTGTTTTTATAGGTTTCGGTACGCCAGGTGGGTAATTGATAGTCAAAATTTTTTCTTAATGAATTTGAAAAGTTTAGAATTATATTCTTAAAAAATAATTAGTTATGACAATTTTATAAAAAAGAAAATGGATGTTAATCGGACATTATATTTGTTTTGTGTTTAAAATTTTATTTAATTTATAGAAAGGTTTGTCGAATCACGTCTATTTAAATTGCATAAAGTTCTATTGAAATAATTTTGAGTTTTTTGGTTTATGTGGCAGTTTGGACTGTTACTCTTGATGGCAGTGCAGTTACAGGAGGAGTGGAAATATAAGAAAATAATGTAAGGTGATTAGGATATTTTTTGGTAATTTATGTCTTAGTTTATATAATATACCGATATTTTTTGACGTTTTATTAGCTATGTATGTCATGTGTTCAGACCAATTTAGGTTGTTTGAAATAATTATTACTAAAAACTTTATTGAATGCATTCTATCAATTTTTAGATTAGAAATGTAAATAATAGGGTCAACCGAACTGGTATTGATTGTTGGTCCGAATAAAAGAAAACAAGTTTTTTTTATGTTTTTATTTACTGTGAACCATTGATAGACCAGTTTAAGCTCACAATTACTGTCAACAATCATATAAGCTAAGTTCATGCTTCTGAAAAGTATGGTTGTATCATCTGCATACAAAATAAATTTAGCTGAATTTGAGCTAAAAATATTAAACAAAATTGGTCCCAGTATTGAATCTTGCGGAACTCCGCCTGATACGTTTAATGATTCAGATCGACAACCATCAATTTCTATGGAACGAGAGCGTTGACTCAAATAACTCCTGAACCATTGCCAGGTCACACCTCTTACACCATAATGATACAATTTTGAAAATTAAATGTAGTTAATATTTTTAATGATTATTTCAACTCTTTTAGCCATAATTATAATAATAAATATTATATACATTAACAAGATAAATTGATTGAAAAGACATCTAGTCGTTCTAAGCTTAACTTGAGATCCTATGACCAGAATCTCTTGGTGGTTCCAGCCACTTACCTTCATATCTCTCAGAGACCCAGGATTATCGGCAAATAATTTAAAAAAAAGGAGACACTTTTATTTTCATTGTGAATTGACTATACAAATTTTTCGTTTTTGCCAGCGATTTCAGAATGTTGTTATGTTTTATCCTTAAACTTGTACTGATTTTCCTTATTTTGTTTATTTCAATCACAAATGTTACTAGTGGTGTGACGCAGAGTAGCGTCCTGGGACCCACTCTATTCCTGATTTTCATAAACGATATAGCTGACTGCACCTCATCCTATTCTGTTGGGATTTTGCTTTTCGCTGATAACATCAACTTGTACTGCCGTTCATCCAACTTAATAAAACATCAACAAGTGATCAATGATTTTAGTTGATTGGAGTGCAAAATGGTAGCTACCGCTCTCTCCCGACAAATTTTCTTTCTGCACATTTCTTTCTTCAACTAGATCTAATGCAGTTCCTCATCAATATTCGATTGATCATCACGATTTATCACGCATGGACCACTGTAAGGACCTTGGTGTAATTGTCGACAACCAACTTAATTTTAATTTTCATATCAACGATATTGCTCCAGAGCTTCCTCTCGTGCACGGTTAATCACCAGATGTTTTACCTCAAAGGATAAAAACCTACTTATCAAAGCTTTTTGCACATACGTACATCCTCTGGTTAAATATGTTTCATCTGCGTGGAATTCACATTACAGAGAAAATTTACAAAATTTATCCCGTCTCTACATCATCGCTCATACCTGTCTCGACAGCATGCAGTTGGAATGCAAGCTTTGAAGCGTCGAAGGTGAAGCTGCTCTTTGAGTTTTGTTGTCATCGGCCACGTCTCTGTACCATATATTAGAACAGAACGTATAGCTGTGTTGTATAGTTCTGAGCGCAGCGGCAGAGGAATGCTACGCCGCATCAGTACCGAAACAAGAAGGTGCCATCTGCTCCACGCCGCACGTATGCGTTAACGAACGGCGACATCATCTGTTCCAGTACAATCCAGTATATTACCCAAATACTGAAATGAAGTAACAGTTTTGATCCCGGTAATCGTATCATTATCAGGGCTCTGTTGTCACGGATTGATGCAGGCGGGGCATACGAAATTGGTCACTTTCCTCAGTGAACCGGTAAGTCTCGAGCATCGTCTGTGACGCCATTGCTGACATCGTAGACATTTGATCGAGTTGCTTCCAACTCTAGCCCTACGCACCGAACATGGCCAATGACCAGAGACCACAGGCTCAGCGGTACCATCGGTGATCATAGTTTTTGTTTTGTCAAGGTTTACCTTTAGCCCGTGTTCGGCAAGCTGGGTATTCCAAAAACTTTCTGGCTGCGTCTTGTTCCGAGGCCGCCGTCAGGACGATATCATTTGCATATATCACATACCATATGTTATCTGAGTGTATCGGTTTGGTTATTTCTTCCAACGCGTGGTGAAGAGCAGGGGGCTGAGTATTGATTCCTTATGGACGCCGACGTCAATATCAAATTCATTCGTGTTACCGGCTGTTGTACTGACCAGAGTTTTTGTGTTAGAGTACGTTGCCATAACCAACCAAACCAGAAATTTGGGAACAAGCTGTCTACGTAGACTCCACCTGATTGCCTCACGAGGCAGGCTGTCAAGACTTTTTCAAGTCCACAAAGACATGAAACAATAGCTTTTGCTTTGCCATGTATTTTTCCTGTAGTTAGCGAATGATATAGATAGCATCAATGGTGGATTTTCCTGCTATGAAGCCGTACTGGTAACCACTTATTGAAACGCACGACAACAGTCTTCTCTCAATGACTTTTTCAATAACTTTCAGGGGATGTTCCAGAAGACGTATACCCGATATGAGGAGCATTTTAGTAGATCTCCTTTTCTTTTATATATCGGCACAGTTGTGCTACTGTTCCATTTCACTGGTAGTATCGATTTACTCTACATCTCCCGACAGATGTGTAAGAGGGCTCGGAAGCCTGCCCCACCAGATGCCTTGATGATGTCATTTGTAAGTCCAGACGGACCAGCCGCTTTACCCTCTTTCATTGCCTTCAACGCCTCTTTGCCTCTTTCATTGCCTCAGCTGGGATGCCCTGAATCGGTCCTTCTACCGGAAGTGCACCAAAGTCCACCCGAATAGGGTTTGTTTCATTCAATAACTGATCGAAGTAAACCTTCCAGTGATCCCTCACTTTATTCTGCAAAGTTATTATTGTGACTTTATTATTCTTTATGCATGTGGCACCAACCATATCCTTTTTCAGTCTTTTGGCTTGATTTTATATTCGGTAGAATGACCGAATTTGTTCGCCTTTACTTCCAGACAGCCATACCTAGCATTGATTTGCACGAGCTATTGCAATCTGGCATTTCGCTTCTGTGTTCTTTGATCGGTAGGTATGTCTTTCGATCTTCATCAGTCTTTGTCTTCTGCCATTGTTTGAAAGCTGCTTTTTTACTGGCAATAGCATTTTTCACCGTCTCGTTCCACCACCAAGTTTCGCGGTTGTCTAGTGTTTTGGTCCAGATTTTCCACATGAAGCTGTTGCAGCGTTCACTAAGGTGTCCTGAAAAGATTTCCAGATTATGTCAACCTTCTCCAGACGATCCAGCTGTGCCGATACTATCTCCTTAAATTTTTCCCTGAACATGGGGTTCTTCAGTTTCCATGTTTTTATTCTAGTAAGCATTCGGTTAGTCACAGGGCGTGATCGTTCCATGATCATATCGGCCACCAATACAATCGATGTTGAGAGATGCATGTTTCGCCTGGAATGATTTTGTATTTTTGAATAGTCGTCTGTGTTGTTGTCTGCCGATTTGTATGCATAACATTCCGCTTTTATATGTGATCAAATGTTCTGCCCTCTTTTTGAAATAAGTGTTCAACAGGAAGAGTTCATGGCTTTCAGCAAATTCCAGAATCCGTATACAGTCTTCGTTTTAAGACTCGTAGCCAAAGCTTCCATGAACACCGTGGAACCTATTTTCTTTATCTCCAGCATGGCCGTAAAGGCCACCGCATATCAATGGTATCTCTGATGATGGTGTTTTTCTGACGGCATCTGAGAGTGTGTTCCAGAAGTCATTTTTGGCGTCTTCAGATTCACAGGTCTGTGGTGCATATGCAGAGTAAACAGTCAGAACCTGTTTTCCCATTCTGAATTTAATCAGCATTAGGCGTAAGCTGATTTAAATTACCTCCAGTACATTTTGTGCCAGTTATTCCCGTATGAAGATTCCCACTCCATTATGGGCTGTCTTTGGCCATTCCAAAACAACTTGTAACTTCAAACGAGAAAGACACTATTTTATTTCCATCTTGTTTTTTGCAGAGAACAGATGTCAACCCTTCGCCTTTCCAGCATGTCAACGATCTCCATGGAGCGTCCAGTAAGCGATCCAGTATTTAAAGTGCCAGGTCTGATATTCCAGGGGGGTACGCCCGATTATCCGCAACGTCCTTCTATTGTTGCGTACTTCCTGGATATTGCCACCTCGTGACCATTTAAGGTCTTCCAGGGAATAGGGAATCTTTTTTGTGATGACATGGAAGATGTTTAGGGCAAAAAAATTTTATGCCAAATTCCTAACGACAACCACCAGTTATAAGCAGTGTGCCTTTTTGCTGGAAGCACACAAGGCAGGGCGGTTGCAGTTTATCTCGTGCCCAAGAGAGCACTGTTGTAAACAGTGCACCTAGCCTTTGGGCCAAAGGTCTCTGTTCCACAAGACAATGGATTCAGAATCAAAGATCATCCGCTGTTGGAGCCGTTGTCCTAGCATCCTCCGCCTCTCATCGTTGTCTTCTTTTTTCTTCTACAGTTGGTTCGCGGCATCTTATTCCGTATTATTTGATGCAAACCTAGAAAGTATCCCTGTCCAGGACTTTTCCCTATCCACCACCTGGGGAACTTACACACATATATATATATATATTTATTATATATATTTACAATATTCTATAAATTCTACCGAATTTTTACCGTTAATATGTTTGTAGTTCGTTTTTTCAATTTTTATCACTAAAGTTTTTTGGTGAACGTTTAGTTTATTAAAATTCAAAATAAACTTATGTTCCGAATTCATGCTGCAAATAAGGCCATATTTCGATTCCGAATGAATCATCATCAGTGCTTTCTGCTGTTTATATAGGGAAATATTGACTTTGTCAAAATGAATTTAGATGGAGATTGACTTTGTCAAAGTGAACTTAGATGGAAATTAGGTGTCAGGTTTCTTTATCTTCTTTGGTTTCCTTTTCTTCATCGATTGCATCATATTCTTCTTTGTCACTATTTACAATGCTAGTTTTTATTACTTCTTTGTTTTCGTTGTTGGTTAAGCGCCGGGTTAGAAGTGAGGTTGTCATTTTGTTGTATATTTATTT